TGGCACGTCGCAATGCTGCGGTATATTATGAACCTTAACGTCACTTTCCTGGTCAACAGCGCTGCTCATATATATGGAAAGAGACCTTATGACAAGAAGATTCTACCATCTCAAAACATAGCTGTGTCCATTGCAACCTTTGGGGAAGGTTTCCATAATTATCATCATGTATTTCCATGGGATTATCGCGCAGCTGAACTTGGAAATAACAGTTTGAATTTCACTACGAAATTTATTGATTTCTTTGCGTGGATCGGATGGGCATATGACCTAAAGACTGTTTCAAAAGAAATGATAAAACAAAGGTCAAAAAGAACTGGTGATGGAACTAATCTATGGGGATTAGAAGATGTGGATACGCCGGAGGATTTAAAAAATACAAAAGGCGAATAGGCAAAGCCTTAAACTCAAACAGTGAGGTTTAATGTGATATTTAGAATTAGAATTAATTTATTTGAAATTAAATGAAGGTTTTGGATAACTGTTTTTAATAATAAAAATAGTTTTTCGATTAAATTCCTTAGATTATTTTAAAGGGAATGTATAAGGTACTCACGTGGTTAGCAATACAGCTGTACCTGTTTATCTGTTTTTATGAATTTATTCTATGAATGTAGATGTCGCATGAAATTTAAAAATGTTGCATTTGTATAATTTTACTTATGAATAAATAAATTTATTTTTAAATGACTTTTAATTACGAACAGATAAGTTGTAACACACGTGTGGCATGACCCGGTGACCTCGCGTTTTAGGCAGACTAATGAGGCAAGGAACTGAAATAACTAAATGAATGATGAACATGTATTTCAAATAAATTGTGACTTGTATGGTGTATTCTCTTATGGCATGAGTTATCTCAGTTTATAGAATACATAATATCACATCTTCATCTCTAGACGAGGTCGACAGATGTTTAATGTATTTATTGCAAGTGTTAGGCTGTATGATTTAACTGAAAGTGTGTTGGCTGAATGGATCTACTATTGAACTGTAGACTGTAACTGTACAGTTAGGCTAAGGACTCACGATTTTACTCCGCTCCCATCGCGATTGTGGGTCCGCAGCTTTTGTAGATTACAGATATGTGATATGTAAAACCTGCCTCGTATGACTGCCTCGTTGGCCGAGTTGTCGCAAGTGCGACTGCCGGGCAAGGGGTCTCGGGTTCGATTCCCGGGTCGGGCAAAGTATTACTGGGTTTTTGAAAATGTCAGTAGTAGCACGGAGTCTGGAAATGTGCCCGGTATATGGCAATAGGCTCACCCCCTATTACATGGGACTCATAACATAAATAGTGAAAAGTGGGTGTTACTTCTATGTGCACCTCTGCCTACCCCTTCGGGGATAAAAGGCGTGATGTTAGGTTATGTTATGTGATATGTAAAAAAAATTCAAAGTAATTTTCACGGCGCGTTTTACGCCCACGGCGGTTTTTTTTTTATACCACGACGGTGGCAAAAAAGCACACGGCCCACCTGATGGTAAGCGGTTACCGTGGCCTATGTACGCCTGCAACACTTGGGGTATTACATGCGTCTTGCCTACCTGAAACCTATTCACTGCCCTCTTGAAGAACCTCATGTTGTAGCCCACTGGGAAAACCACGGCAGGGAGTTCATTCCACAATCGGAGGGTCCGTGGGATCGGTTGCGGTCGCGAAGATTAGAGGAGATCGCGTCGTGAGTAGGTACTTAGCCTTAAAATCGTAAGATGTGTAGCGAGAATTAGACGCTGAACACATAGAGTATTCCGTAGATTTTCGTTGCGTACTGACACCAAAAGAGTATTATTAATAAGTAGTGCCGACACCACATCTATGGCCAACACTTAGCATGCGTTGTTTTTTATTACAAACTAATTCTTGATAAAAAAGTTTGATTATCTTATAATGAGGCAACTGTTGTCGTCAGCTCTTCAGGATCAGTTTACCCCTCTATACTTATACTCTTTGGATCAGTGTATGTCAAAAATGTCACTCGAAGCGTTCATATTTTTTGTGTAAACATTATTTGCAATGTAAATGTTATTCTTTATTGCATTTTACATGTATCGATAAAAACGTTTCATACGAGCGCTTGCTAAAATCTCCAAAAGTGACTTCCGGCAGGTCTTTATTTGGAATCATTACTGTATTATGTACTTGCATAGTTATAAGTTATGAAAATGTAACCAATGAACTGTTGAGGGTAAGGTTATAGAAACATTTTTAATTTATTTACGTATAAACTAGTTTCACTCCTTTCTATGTAAAGCCTTTTGCGGCCAATCCGTGTCACAGATGTCGAGTTCGTCTCGGCATCTCCTTTTGGGCCTTCCGCGGGCCTGGATTGGAAGGAGGGTAAGGAGGCCTTTGCCCAGCAGTGGGGCGATTATGGTTGAAAATAAATAAATAATAAAGTAATTGTGATTGAACTGTACTTGAAGTCGAAAAGGGAAAGTTTCAATTTTAGGTAATTTATGTAATGTTGTACTTAGCTTTCGAGTTCTTCACATTATCAAAGTACATTTCTTTGAATGGGGATGATGACAGGGTATGAAAATTAAAAATATAATTAGTCCGTAAGTTAGGTAATGAAAAAATATTAGACACGTATTTTTTTATTTTGTCGTATAATAAAACAATACTTAGATAAAACGAATCAAAGTTTAGGAGTGGGGGCTAAAACGTCATTCCTTAGTATAAAATGTACTGAGAAGTGACGTCACGTGACATTTCAAATTAATATATCTTCGAAACTATTCGTTTCTGTGAGAAAATAAAAAATACGTGTCTAATGTTTTTAAATAATCTATCAGACGGACATTAAAATAAAAATTAGTCGTCTACCCCATTTGAGCTGTAGTGGGTCCAGATTAGCCTGGTTTCAGTCGTAGTCATAGAAAGCGAATTCATATTTAATGGCTGGCTGGTAGAGAATGCCATTCGGCATTAAGTCCGCCATTGTACACAGTTATACATGAAGTGTTAAATAAATAAATAAAAAATATTTAATAGGCTCACCCCTATTACATGGAACTTATAACATAAATAGTGAAAAGTGGATGTTACATTGTATAGTGGTACTAAGTGCCGCAATGTGCACCTCTTTCGAGGATAAAAGGCGTACTGTTATGTCATATATGATCATTTCAGAGCCGCCACAATAGACTACGCACAAACTTTGGTAATGAAGTTAAATCTGGGGAGTGGCCGCATCATGTAAGAATTGTTAAGGCTAATAGTTCATCAGCTATTTATTTACCACGTTATTTAAAAGGAAACAACTTTAAATTCTAAATAGAATAGAATAGAATAGAATATAATAGAATAGAATAGAATAGAATAGAATAGAATAGAATAGAATAGAATAGAATAGAATAGAATAGAATAGAATAGAATAGAATAGAATAGAATAGAATAGAATAGAATAGAATAGAATAAGAATAGAATAGAATAGAATAGAATAATAGAATAGAATAGAATAGAATAGAAAGAATAGAATAGAATAGAATAGAATGAATAGAATATAATAGAATAGAATAGAATAGAATAGAATAGAATAGAATAGAATAGAATAGAATAGAATAGAATAGAATATAAAGAATAGAATAGAATAGAATAGAATAGAATAGAATAGAATAGAATAGAATAGAATAGAATAGAATAGAATAGAATAGAATAGAATAGAATAGAATAGAATAGAATAGAATAGAATAGAATAGAATAGAATAGAATAGAATAGAATAGAATAGAATAGAATAGAATAGAATAGAATAGAATAGAATAGAATAGAATAGAATAGAATAGAATAGAATAGAATAGAATAGAAAAGAATAGAATAGAATAGAATAGAATAGAATAGAATAGAATAGAATAGAATAGAATAGAATAGAATAGAATTTTATACGTAACAATTATGAGAACTACTGGGTTTAATCTATTATTACCGCATATTTGGTTCTCGACCAAGGGTTTCTTAGTATTTAATAGTGACTCTAGGAGTCAAAGTTTATGCTGACGGGGAAGAGCCGTTCTCTTGTGAAGTGGTTTGCTTCTCTCTGTTTTATTTAGATAGTGTATTTCGCCTATTCTACTAGCGAAGAGGAATGGGTTAAATTGGCCATATATCGTGTAAGCATGGAGTTTTTCTAAACGTGCTTTCATCAATGTTTTGTTATCGACAGTCAGTTATTGTACTAATAAGATATCAAGAAATATTATGTGTGATTATGAACCCCAGCATATTGGCTCTAACGCTGGAATACTAAAAGCCTACTCAATTTGAGTTCTACTTAAATATTGCACCATCTCTGTCATTAAAAAAATGTGGCAAAACTATACTTAAGCGCATTATAAAATTGAGTGGCGTTTGAGTATTTGGGCATAAGACTAGAATGCATTGCAAGATTTTCTTTTAGGTCCTTATCTTCAGATTGTATGATAAATATAGCTCACTGTATCGAGCGTTTTGTGCCGGCAGCATTATCGGTCAAGACAGGGTACTGACTTCAACCAACTGCTTCTTCACTAATAGAAAAAAGTAAGTTTTTAGAAATTAGTCGGCCTTGAACACCCGAAACATCAAAGGTATTATAATAATATCAGTAGCAGCGCGACAGTCGCTGCGTCGTGTCTCGCGGAATGCGGCTCATGAATGTGAGCCTCTAGCATAGCTTGAAACTAGTCGAGTTCCTCGTCAAACAGTTACGTGAGTAAGCCGAAAACATAATATTTAATTTAGTTGGTATAACTGCCCGTGCGTACGCACAAAGAGCCATCAGACCACCACAGATGAGGTCCAATAGGACTGATGCCAATGGGAGGCCTAACGAGTTACCGGTGCTCCGGCTCGAAGAGCAAGAGTAGGAACGGGGTGGTTTTTTTCAGTAAGAGTCTGACACTCCCTCTCACCAAAGCCAAGGCGGGAGAAGCCATAAGACGATCTTCGCCCCTCAAAAGAAAGATGTTATAAGTGCGTTGCCGACCTTTGGGGAACTTAGGGATTTGCCTATTGGAGATGGAGGAGATTAGGGAGGAATTGGGCCTCCAGTTGGCGAAACACAACGCAAAAGTTATTTCGACGGTGTGATATCATTCCAGTCGAGCTGGTCTATTCGTGCCGAAGCATGGCTCTTCTGTACTTTAATTCAATTTAATTTGTAGTTTTTTAATAGGTACTACACGAATTTATGATATGAAATGTAAATAAATATTATCTTTTTAGCCAAAGACATAAGTTTGAACAGGTTCGATTTGTGGCCGGTATTCTCAAGACTCTAGGCAAGCCACCAGTGGAAGAAGAGTATGAACAATGGCGATCTTTGAAGCATGTGTATACGCAGAAATTCTACAGATTTCCCGCTTTCAACCTTGCTGTTGTTGTAAGATCTTTTTTACAATGATCTATAGTCAGAATTTTAATTAGATTCCAGATTTGACATTAGCTACTGTCATTTTGAGAAATAATGATACCACATATAATAGTGTAGTGATGAACACAAAAATCGATAATCAATCAGTGTGTGTGTTTTATAATAAATGTTACAGAAAGTGGCAGGATAGCGATAGCGATGACGGCGACAATTTTTAAAATAACTTATTACCATAATACATCTATCTGTTTTATTTGTCATGTTCCTTCATGATTACATTTTTTTATTTATTTCACACACAATTATAAAAGAAAAGTCTCAGATCGTTAATTAATCGTCAAAACTAAATTATCGGTTCAGAAATATTTAATTTCCTGATATACTTAGTTTACGAGAGTAAAATTATAAACGAGAAGAATCGATCCAGAAATATTGCATTTCCATATCGAATAATTTCGCAACGTCACTATTTAGTACTTGTCATAACGTTGCAATACTGAAATTGTCAAATCTGGAATCGAATTAAAATGCCGAGTATAATTGTTGTACATAATAATATGGAGTCCAAAACATTTGAGTGTTTCGTAAATGGTTTAGCACTTGAGTAATGATTTTGCATAGGTGTGCAGAAACGAGAGATCTGTGATCAATACCATTGTTAGGTCCACTAATAATTAATATTCACGTGGATAACGTTTTATAAATATCTATCATAGAGAAATTTTGTTTTTTTTTTACCTTTTGAATGCACCAATATGAGACAATAGAAAATACATTGTGTCTCGCGTGTAGACACTCGAAAGGTTAAATAAAACAGATGTAAAACAATATGTGTAGTTAGTATTAAAGAGGTAAAAGAGCGCCTAAAGAGCAATACAAGCAACAAACATTAACTTGTTCGTATGTTACAATTTTCAGAAATTAACTAAACCATGGGTTTTCAATAAGTTTATTAATAAAATACCGTATGCAAGTATAGACCAAGATTTTGATGGAGTTTGTACGGCAACCGCTGTGAAGGCTACGAGAGTAAGTGTTGAATTTTAGGAAAGTGGTAGATGAGTATTATGAAGTGTTTTAATATCTTATTGTATGTATAAATAGTGATTTTATCGTGTTTCAGAGCTGGTCAGCAGTTAGATATTTATATACCGAAGAGGTTGAAATGATGCAAAGAGAAGAATGCGAACAGCTTCTGTGTAGAAGTTGCAGACTATTTATGTGCACTATATTTGATAATCGGAACCAGCACGCTTACTCTGTGAGTTTTTTTTAATTTATGCTACATCTCATTTTCATAACCTAACTAGTTTCCTCAAGAATTATTTTGAAGACATATTACATCACTACCAAATAAATGTAACATTCTAATCCCCAAAAACGTGCAACACGCTTGTAACTTACCTGGTGATGGAAGTGTACATTAGCAGCGTCAATTGGTTACCATTAGGTGATACGTCTGCTTGTTTTCCACTTGGCAGCAAAAGGTTTCCTATGTAGTTCATGCATCATTATACACCTGCATTACCAGAGTGTCATGAATACCGTGCATATCATCATTATTATCGACAGCAAGTCAAGTCGAAGCACTTCGGGAGACTTTCAGTCAGTCATTACTGGTTGCACTGAGCAATTGAATAAGGATAGATATCTACCAACGGCAAGCACCATTATGACCTTTTCCGAGTTATATGTGTGTCCTTTCTAACATTAATCAGACATCCTGATAAACAGTTCATAAAACACCATGGAGTAATCTGGGCTAATAATCCTTACTATATAATATTATAAATCGGAAAGTGAGTTTGTTTTTTTGTTTGTTTGTTCCGACTTCATGCCGTAACTACTAAACCGATTGCATTGAATTTTTGCAGACGTAAAGTTAGTAGTCCGGATTAAATAATAGGGTACTTTTTATCCCGAAAAAATTTGATATTCCCGAGGGAAAACAAAAGTATTGGTATAGATGGCGCTGTATGTATTGGTATATGTCAAATAGACTACTTTTTATCCTTTTATGACGCGAGCGAAGCCGCGGGTAAAAGCTAGTTTCTAATTATAAGTTTCAAATTGCCAACCCGCATTGAGCAAGCGTGGTGATTAATTCTCAAACCTTCTCTGTGCGAAAAACGTCTTTGGCCAGCTGTGGCCACTGATGATGACTGAAAATATACCGATAATGGTTTTTTAAATTACCAGGAAACTGAAGGTGGTGGATTAGTGTGCTACGAAACAGGGGATCCAGCGGAGGTAGACGAGAACCAAGGTGTTTTGGTTGCTGTGACCACCATTGTCAACGTTGGTCTTCCAAACCTCCACATGCGTGTTGGGTTATTCAATAAATGGGTGACTGACGTCAGCTGTGACGTGCATGTTAACAAATTTATAATGGTCCTTTGTATATTGTTATTGTGCTATTAAAACTGTTACTGTTTAGTTACTGTATACTTAAACATGTTTCATTTATTACCCTAATTTTTTTTTATCTAAGATAGTTGTGACAATATCCTATGTAACACTACAAGTTACACATCTTTGGAAATAAAATCATTGGTATGTTTTTAAACCCTTGTATTATGTACAATGTATATAAAAAAAGTTTTGCTGTACAAAAATATTCAAAAGACATTCTGAATTTATTGGTACATTCAACTGGAAATATGATATGCGATCTGTAATTCAGCTCTCCTCAGGTCGAGAAAAATGACGTCATCATCTTAAAATTATCGATCAATGGTATCCCGGCCAGGAAAAAAAACTAATTGTATCTGGTAACTTAACACAGATTTCAATGATAAGAAATATTAACAAAACAAGCAAATAGAGGTCAACTTTGTGAGCAATACAACTAGAATATAGATACCCGTATTTGTTGTACCCAACAACTGCAGTCGTTTCTTTAGTTATGAAGTTGTAGTATTTAGAGACTCTGACAAATAAAGAGGATCGGTTTGGACTGTGAGACCTTGCAATACCAACTAATACTCCAATGTCACTTTCGTTCGGATCACTCGTATTAGAGCATACTAGAGGCCCACCAGAATCACCCTGAAAAACACGACAATAAGTTACTAGAGTTAAAAATATTTAAAGTACGTATTAGAATACTCAAAAAATAGACTGATGGTTTGCTTTCAAATCCAAAATTTAACGACCCTATAAGCTATTAGAGATTTTTTCCAAATTACTTTATTGTTCTAGAACAATAAAGACTTTGGTAAGACAAGACTACAAAGTCTTGTCTTACCAAAGTCTTAGGACTAAATTAAAAATGAAATTAAAATTAATCTAGTACATTAAAGTCGGTTCTATATTAGATAGGTGTAAAAATAAGTAATTTCTGCATTAAAATACAGTTATAGAATAAAATACCAACTAACCCTTCCAGTGTCTGAGAACTCTTCAGCAGTACATATAAACGTTTCCATGTTGTAGTGGTACAGTTCACTGCAGTCGACCGAAGTCATTATTTCCAAATAGCCTTTTAAAAGAATTTCACTTGAAATCTAAAAAAAAAGAGAAGAAAGAATTTGGTCTAAGTAAAAATCTAAAAAGAAGAAAGAATTTGGTCTAAATAATATGGACGCGGCAAAGCTAGAGGCGGCATAGAACAGGAGTTGAAGCGTCGTGGTTCTTAGTCCAAGAGTCTATCACTCTCTCCTTCCTCATCCAGAGTGGGAGAAGTAATTTTAAATATTTATTAAATGTATTATGATTACATAATACACTTAAAGTATCTATTAACTTGGAGCTCGATGGTCGACTAGTTTCGAATCACGACAAGGACTTATAATCATGAGCAGCATGCACTCTCAAGTTAATTCAAAGCATCGTTTTGGGTACTTCATTTTCTAATTATGTATGTCGAAGATAGGAGATATTTTACACTTGATATCGGTGAAAGGAGAATCCTGCAATGCATTTAAGTGTTGCATTGTTCTCACACAATCGAACCAACAAAACTATGTAACTAGAGAATTGTATTGTGAGCCCGATTGAAAAAGAGTAACCTGTGGAGTTTCTTGCTCGTTCTTCTCCATAGGAATCTACACCTTGGAATGAGCAACTATCTTCACTTCTAAATTTTTTTGTTGTTGACGTTCAAAAGTGCCTTCCTGGTCTAATTGTAATTAAATGATTTTGACTTTGACTTTGACTTTGATGTTGGCGTTATGATGTAGGCTGCGGTAAAATAAGAAAGTCTTCCGTATGTAATCATTGTACATTGCATTTTTACTTCAGTTAAGCTACTGATGGGGATATTTTTTTAATGAAATGAAATGAAACCTTTATTTATGAAATGTAGGTATGTATTAAAATGATACTATGTCGTAATTGGTAAAGAGATATAACATACATAACATCACGCCTTTTATCCCCGAAGGGTAGGCAGAGAAGCACATTAACCACTGTACAATGTAACACCCACTTTTCACTACTTATGTTATGAGTCCCATGTAATAGGGGGTCAGCTTATTGCCATATACCGGGCACAATTCCAGACTCCGTGCTACTACTGAGAATTTTTAAAAACTCAGTAATACTTTGCCGGACTCGGGAATCGAACCCGAGACCCCTTACCCGGCAGTCGCACTTGCGACCACTCGGCCAACTAGGCAGGTAAAGTAAAACTTGTTGTAATACTTCAACCTTTAATAAGAGTGATAAATGAAGGTTTCAGAGTACGGTACAATAAATACCTTTTTGTCTCCCCCTGTTTTGCCGTACCCTGAAACCAAGCATAGACTGTTATAATCTTGATTTTTCGTCGCTATTGGAATAGGGCCAATATATTTATTATATATGTAGGGGTCATCTAAATACTGAAACAAGGTAAGTATTAAATGGATGTTATGTGCAGCTAAGACTTGCAGGTACTTGAATAAAGATCTAAAATATATGGACCAATCGAAGATACTGATGTACAGTGGGCACTAGGTCAACCTATTCTTTTTTGTCATATTTCTTTATTAGACTTTCAACTCTATCGTTTACAAATACAGTTAAAAATCTAATGACAAAAATTTACAAATTCGGAGAAGGTTGTACTGTAATTTTACTCATCGAAAGGCCTTAGCCAATTTATCATCTTATTGTTAAATTAAAGTATCATTGACTTTCTCAAATTACTAAATGCCATAAAGGAAGGGATGTTTGTGCCATTGTTCTCTATATATACGTCATCAGCATATTTGTATTGAATTTATAAGTATACTCACAGCAACTGCTATATCATGTTTAGGCCTTTTATAATTTTTGGAGTATCTGACGCTTGACAAGCTTCTCCATTGGCCGAAATCATTGTCCAAGCTGTATTTACCTTCATTCATTAGATTACCAGCTACTGCGTAAATATCACTTAGGCTACCTTTATCAATCGTTCTAAAAAAAAATTATTTAATTTGTCTTTTTTATACTACTACGGTGGAAAAAAGGACACGGCCCACCTGATGGTAAGCAGTTACCGTGGCCTATGTACGCTTGCAAAACTTCGGGCCTTGCCGACCCTTGAAAAACTTATTACCAAACGAGCTGACGGTCTTCTAACCCCCAAAAGACTGGTGTTGCGCTTGTTAAAGCCTTTGGTGTTTCATGTGTCCACGGGCGGTGCCGATTGCTTACCATCAGATGATCTGTTTACTCATTGGCTTACTATCCATAAAATATGACTACCCAATAAAGGACTGTTCAAGGATAAGGTTTCATTTCAATTTTGTGAAAAGAGTTGTTATTACCCTGTCATTAAAACAACAGAAATCCGTTTATTTCCCAGAAAACAATGTGCAGCAGTAAGGATCTTCTTCTCTCCTATTATGGATGCACCGCAAAAACTTCTATAAAAACCATCATTCTTTAATGTTTTCAGTGATACCTGTAATAGTAATTGTTTCCATATCATATTAAGAGTCTTAGGTTATTTTAAGGAAAGAAAATTAGTATCGAATGACCCGCCTGTGTGAGGAGGGAGGGAGTGTCAGACTCTTACTGACTAAACACCACCTAGTTCCTACTCCTGCACTTTGAGTCGGAGTTCCGGTAACCTTTTACGTTCTCCGCGGCTAAGGATCTTAGGTTAACCTCTTCTTTTTGTTCTTTTCACTAAAGGAAATTTAACTGAAGAAGATCACTTATGCCTGTTTACATATTTACCTCTATATTCAGAAATCTAAACACTCCTGTGTTTATCCTGAGCCAGGGATAACAGCCGGGGAGCACCCCGGCTGTTAATAATAGAGGGAATAAAATTTTAAATAAAATGTGTAAATTACATGAATGAGTGTCAACATATAATGATCAGTAAGCTGAAGTGGCAGTGGGCCGGTCACATTTGTCGAAGAACCGATAACCGTTGAGGTAAACGTGTTATAGATTGGAGACCGTGTCTAGGCAAATGTAGTGTAGGGTGCCCTCCAGCTAGGCGGAGTGACGACATCCGCAAGGCGGCTGGCAGTGGTTGGATGAGAAGAGCGAGCTGACGACCGAGATGGCGTGCCATTGGAAAGGCCTATGCCCAGCAGTGGACTAATACGGGCTGATGATGATGAGGGTCAACTGTTTGAATTCCACACCATTCACAGTCACCTTCAAGTACCTGATATGGAATATCTCCTAATTTAGCTGGTTCACCATTCATTATACGAGGAACCCATATCTCATTATTTTTTCGAGCTGTAAAGTCGTCGTCTTCATAGAAACTATCTGGATATTGGAATATTTCATCATCATCATAAGTGGCATTTTCTTCTGTGTAACATTCCTCTGGATATGAAATTATAAAGTATAATAAGAATTTAATAATCATTAAATATATTTTTCTCTCAACAAGCAACCGATTATCCAAATCATTAAATTGTGTTTATTTTTGAAATGTAACTGCAATAAAATGTCAAAAATATGTATTGACATTTCAATACATATTGTTGACATTATGAGGAGGTAAGGCTCCTCACCCCAGAGCGACTTTGTAACGATGTTGTCACACGGAACATCAATGTCATCAATCTAGAGGTATATATATAAAAGAAAGTCGTGTTAGTTACACCACTTATAACTCAAGAATGGCAGAATAGATTTGGCTGAAAATTGGTAGGGAGGTAGCTTAGAGCCAGGAGACCAACATAGGATATTTTTTAACCAATTTTTTTTTTACCTTTTACCGAAAATTACGAACGGGAAAAAATGGGATTACGCGTACGAAGTTGCGGGCAGAAGCTAGTATATCAATATAGACACGAAGCGGTCACTAGCTGTGGTCGCTCGCCAACGGGTCCAGATACAGTTGCGATGCAAACGCCATTCAGTTAAAATATCTTGGATTGGTTCAGTTGCAAGATGAAATCCGTTGAGGCAATATTAGTTACGTTATCTTTAGTGCTACTGACTGGATTGCGTAAGCAATCGTAGTGTAGGCAATGAAAGCAGCGATAATATTGAATACAAAAACGACACGGTCGCGCATTTTTATCAATAAAGTAACGCGTTGACTTCGATACTGTAGCATAAATGCGACTAACACAATATGATAGCGTTAGTCGGCCTCGTGATTAAGGAGCCTAAATGTCATAATAGCAGAATCTGTGCACTTGCATAGAACTCTTTGGTGGAAATACCAGAGATCCCATCAATCTTCTAGAAAAGGTTTTAATAAAGGCGTTGCTTTTTGAAACAAGTGAAATAATCAAAATTACCTGTATATACCTTTACATTTTGTCCTCAAGTAAGTCTTTTGGGCTTATATACATCTTCAAAAGCGTCTATGTAAAATCATGAACAGGCTACTTTGCTAAATCCGAACAAAAATGAGGTTAACTTTTTTTGATTAGTTTCATACTTTTCTATTATATTGAAAAATACATATAGCAATTAAAACTGGCTATTATATTAGCTTTTGCAACCGTTGTTGTTTTTTTGCACCTTTATTATCATCACCAGTTTGTAGTCGTTGATGGACATAGGTCTTTCAAAAGTACGGCACAGAGCTTAATGTTCAGCTTTCGTATCCAAGTACTGCAAACCAATTTACGAATGTCGTCACTACCCCATCCTTTTCTCTTTTGTCCTGCTAATTATAAATGCGAAAGTTTGTATGTTTGTTTATTTCATTCGGTCAAAACCGCTGAGGGGATCATGGTGAAATTTGGCCAAAGGTAGATAATGGTCGGGAATAACACATCATCATCATCATCAACAGCCTATAAATGCCTACTGCTGAGCAAAGCCTCTTCTCACACAGAGAAGGTTAGAGCATTAATCACCACGCTTGCTCAATGCGGGTTGGCGATTTCAAACTTATAATTAGAAATTATAAGTCCAGGTTTCCTCACGATGTTTTTCCTTCACCGTTTGTCAGTGGTGTCTAAATAATCTTAGAAAGTACATATAACTCGAAAAAAGTCACATTGGTACTTGCCGTTGGTAGGTTTCGAACCCGCACCCTCATGCATGAGAAGTGGGCGTCTTAAACCTCCGGGCCACCACGACTGGTAATAATAATACATAGCATGTTTTTATTCCACGGGATCGCTGGCGACGCAGCTAGCAGAGGCTTCCATTGATAAACAATAGTTTTATTTAGTTGTATAGCATAGCATTACATTAAACAGGTTTATGATAAGATAATAAAACACGTAAATAATAATTAAACACATATTTCTGTAATTACAACAAATGCCAATAAGAGAACTCTGTGACCAGGAATAACTTGTAAGAGTAATTTCATTTGCACAATTTATTTACTAACACATTAACCGCAATGGACACATACTTTGAGTTTAGTCTAAAATTTGAAAAGCGAAAACGAAGCTCGTAAGTAATAATAAATGGGCATCATAAGGGTTCTTCTACACCCTTCGCCTACAGCGTCTTCTAAGGATTTTATTAGGTAGATAGCCTCCGTGGTTTCTATCTCCATGGACCGAAAGAAAGATGTGTATGTACGTAAGTATGTACAAGCGGTAAAACAAGAAGTGGATATAAAGGTTTTTGAAGACACGCAGAAGAGTTCTTGCGTTTACGAGGTGGTCTTTTTATTGGTCTTTTCGGAGCGAAGGAGACAAAGTCATCTTTTATGAAATCGAGGTATTTGGAAACTTTACTGTAGAATGAGTAAGACGATGTTACATGGCCGCAGATGACGCCAACTAATAGTCCTTGCTTATTTTCATTTGGGTCTCCTGTACCTTTACAAACTAGAGGACCGCCAGAATCACCCTGTAAAAGAAATATTTTAGCTGTTTCTGTCAGTTACTACCTTCTGTATGTTCTAATAATTGAAGATTTTCAAAAGTAATTTATACGACTCAGAGTACTGATGATATGGGTATATTATTTGGAGTTAACATTTCCATCACTACAAATAATCGATGATAATCACATCACTTCAACAACCTGCCAAAGTGGCCACTGCTAACTAAAGGCCTCTTCTCACTCGAAGAAGGTTTAAGCATTAATCACCACGATTGCTCAATGGCGATTTCACACTTCTAATAATTAAACATTATAAACGCAGATTTTCTCACGATGTTTTCATTCACCGTTTGCCAGTGGTGTCTAAATAACTTTAGAAAGTAAATATAAATCGAAATACGTCACATTGGTACCTGCAGTTGGTAGGTTTCGAGGGTGCGGCCTCGTGTGTGAGAAGCGGGTGTTCAGGCCACCACGACAGTTTATTCATTAATGATAATGAATGATAACAAACCTTTGCAACATCTGAGGTACGTGTGTTAGTGCACACAAAACCGTTGTTAGCACTTAATTGCAATATAGAGCATGTCGATTGTTTTATCACTTCCAGCTGTGCTGTTAACAGAATATTACTGATTGCCTCCTGGAAAATAATTACACCATTAATTTTATGTAGAAAGAATGATTCACGCAAATTGGATACTTGGACATTCGACTGTTTCGTTCGTCTAGAAGGCGCATATGTGATTGTCTATCATTTAACATGATATGCAATTTTTACGCTTCATTGACGCATGACTATGCAAAAGCAAGTATAGTCCTTGTTATCAGAACTGCCAACAGAAAAAAAGTCGTTTATTAAATAGACGTCTCTATTCTTCTTAGAGTTAAACTGCTGTTACCTTTTTAGTATGGCTTGTTCTGCCATACCTGAGATCAAACATGTGCCATGATATTCCAAATCTTTTGATGGAATCGGAATTCGTGCTACGTAGTCAGTATAAATAAATGGCGTACGTAGATACTGCAAAAAAAATAAAAAAAATTTTTATTTATTTAGTAATAGTGCACAAAAATATTAATGTTTTTTTTTTCAAATTTAGTAGTAGCACGGAGTGTGAAATTGTGCCCGGTATATGGCAAAAGGCTCACCCTCTATTACATAGGGCTCATAACATAAATAGTGAAAAGTATGTGTTACATTGTTCAGTGGCATTGTGCCGTAAAGTGCACCTCTGCTGCAGATAAGATATAATGCTTTGTACATACAAGTAAAAAACCTTGATGTAAGAAAGATTGTATCCCGTGACTAAATACTTCATAGAATCCTGATCCTCAGACTACAGAATCGTTTTCATTACTAAATGAAAACGATTCCATAAGGTTGGTGATTGGTGGTTCACAAACACTACACAAGAAAGTCGCTTGGTCTTTCTAAGGGTGACTTGATACATTTTTGACTCAACAATACTAAAATATTTTTGATTTATTTAGCTGTTTCTTTCAGTTTGGTAACGTGCTACAACTGCTGCATGTCTTCATTTAAATTTTAATGCCGTATGAAGAAATAAAGAATTTTGTCATTCCGAAATTCTGCACAAAGAAACAACGACTTAGGCCCCTTCCCGACCAACCACGTGGCTAACCGCTGCCTGCAGTTGACCGCTTTTTCAATTTAATATGCAACCGCTATGGCAACCGCGTCTGTCGATACGAACCGTCGAAGCGGTCAACTGCTATTGCGTAAAGGGTTTTAAGGTACAGAATACTCACAACAACTGCTATATCATAATTGGGAAAACTGAATTCTTCGGGATATCTAACGCTTGACAGCGTCCTCCATTGCGCTTGGACGTCACTACCAGTGTATTTGTCTTTATTTAGTAGAGAGCCAGCAACAGCACATTTGTTTATCAGTAAGTTTTCGTCAATAAACATATAATAGTTGAAATTACTGAAAATAGATGTTTACGTCAAGCAATAATTTCTGGTTAACTTTGTGACATCGATCTTATTTTTGTGAATTGTCTACAGGTAAAGTATGTCTCAGATTGTATACGTGGAGTTCTTGTGACCACAGTACCTACGACTATTTCATTACCTTGATTTGTTCTCATGAGCATCTTTAAATATTACCTTACCAATATTTCATTTTCTTAAAATACTATAACAAATAACTTAGTTACAAATGTTTAATCAACTTGTAAAGAATTGAAGTACTACCCTGCCTGTGAATCGTTACTATGTATGATTTCCGTAAAGCAATGGGCAGCAGTTAGCACTTTCTTATTGCTGATTATGGATCCACCACAAAAAGTCATATAGATATCGCCTTCCAGTAGTTTCTTTAAGGCCACCTGGAAAATAGAAGTAAATCTCAAAAGATGTCTAACGTGATGGTAAGTACTAAAATGATAAGTTTTAATGGATGTCATTCAGTCATTGCTTGCACAGTTGAATATTAAACTCCTATGTATTTCATTGACATCACTCTACTAAGCTCGATATTGTAGTCTTTATATTCAACTACAACCACTTATATGCTTTAGGTACCTATCTATATAATTATATGGCTATCCTATGATGTCCAAAGGTCTTTTCTTCTCCTCTTATAAACATTTCAAATTTTTTCGGGACGATAAACTGCCACAATGTCGTTAGGGGCCAAGTTGATACGCTTATGCTGTACGTGTAAAATTTTAAGGGAGTTCGATACCTGATAAGGAACCTCCCCTAACTTAGCTGGAGCACCATTGATCACACTAGGAACCCATACTTCTGTATTTGGACCAGAAGTCTCCGTACTTGTCTCAGATACATTTACTGAATTCGGAGTTGTTTCGTTCAGCGTAAAGCATTCTGTTATGTATAGAACTATGCAAAACAAACATTTCAAAAGCATGAAATACTATTAATTTGAACAGTTATGAATTGAAATGTCATAATATTTGGTTATATTTTCTTTATGCTCTTTAAACTCTTTGGTGAGTGTTATATTCTGTAAAGGAGTAAATGGGAGTAAAGGTCTTTTAAGTAGGATGTAGGTACTATTATTATACAAGATGTTGTTTTAAAGCCGCGTCATTTTCTAGAAGGTAACGCGGCTATCGATTCTTAGTCCGAATCAATAAAAAAAATTGTACTTAAATATTTTTCATTTTTCTGTAAATTACGGAAATCTGTAAGTGCGAACTAAACGCCGCCGTCTTGTAACTAGTTTTGTAACGCGGCTTAACACACACAAACTCAAACACGTTTTTGATATTAATCCTAATTCCATAAAACTCCAATAAAAAACATTGCTGTCGCTCATTCTGAAATACTGTCGAACTTAAACGATTTATTATGGCCGTATTTTTAACTATTGGCCCGAAACTTTCTTTTACATTGAACATTGATGACTTCTGTGACATGCCCCCGAGAAATGCCACGGTTTCAAAACTACACCTTGTATATACCAAAGAGGAAATATTTTTTTTTAAGTTTCGTGCAAAGGCATTAAATCAACATCCATAGTTTCGTGTTGCAACGTTTATTCTTGCCATGGTTCATGCCATTTCCCAAGTTCTGCCTATCTACGGTTCTTACATTGCCCGATAGCCAAAATTGGTTAGTTGTTTATTATTAGTTATAGGTTCAGATATAAAAAAAGAACAGTAAAATTAAAACACATCAGAATAAAAATGTTTTGTATATTATCACTATCATTATAGGAATAAATGTATCCAGGTAGTAAGATGATGAAGAACCCGAAGGATAATCGTCGGTTACGAAATTGTAGTATTTGGAAACTCTAGTGAAGAATGATCCTCGGGTTTTGCTATGGCCGCTGACGACACCAACTAACACTCCTTTGTCTTTTTCATTTGGATCACTTGTATTTTTACATACTAGAGGACCGCCAGAATCACCCTGGAAACGTAGAGTTTTGATTAGGAATTTATAATCATCATCATAATCAGTAGCCAGAATGTCTGCTACTAAACCAATGCTGTCCCAAGTAGTCTCAATCATCACACTCGGCAGATAGTTGGCTTCGACCCTTCAGTGTTTATCACAGTTTTGTAGCACCGGGTCATTTATATTTGTAATCTGAGTTGCTTAGCGTATTGTGACATATAATTAATAGGTGTATTGTGACAGTCTACTGCTAGAGTATGGACTGGGTCTCTTTAAAAGGTTTGTCCACGTTTGGTAGGGCAGTTGGAGCTAGCAGCTTAAAAGTTTTTTTATCAGAGATCGTTGCTACTCGTCTCTGTTATATTAGTATCAGTCGACTAGTATTTGACTAACCTTTGCAACATCTGAGGCTTGTGTAGTAATGCACACAAAATTGTCGGCATTACTTAATAGCAGTGCAGAGCACGTCGATGGTGTGTTCAATTCCAAGTGTGCTAGTAAGAGAATATTACTAATGGCATTCTGGAAAAATATTGTCATTATTAATTTTACAGCATTCGTAGAAGAAATGCAATATTGAAAAACTATTAAGTTCGGTAATATGTAGTATTAGAAATGACCTATTTTAAAACCATGAATATTTACTGTACCGACGAGCAGTGCTTACTAATGCATTTCTAGAGATGGCAAAATGTAAAGAATTGAATATTTCATCGTTTTTTTAAAAAAGTATTTGCACCTTGGAATCTGGAGTGGACACCGGACTGATATTAGGCAAGACGCTAGGCGAAGAGTGGATGCTACTTTTAATATATATTATATTTTACTATCACTTTGAATAGCAGTGAAACACTTCGTCACAGTATTTTCATCAGAAAACCTGTCGAATACCATTAGAAAGCTACCTCTATTCTTCTTTGAGTTAATGTACTGTTACCTTTTGAGTATGGCTTGTTCGACCGTACCCTGAGGCCAAACACGTCGTATGATAATCCAAATTTTTTGATGCAATTGGAATAGGAGCTACATAGTCATTATAAATGAATGGGGTATGGAGATACTGGAAAAATTAATATATTTTGCTTAGTATAACACAGTGGGCAACACACAACAGGATTAGTTTTAGCAAAGCCGTCCAAATAACAGAAGACCGAAAAAGATGAGATAAAATATTTCAAATACATTACTCAGGAAGAGCCAAGGAAAATTACTTTTTATACTCCAGAACAGCTTGGTCGTGCAGGGAATCAGATCACGAGGCAGATCAACTATGCGATTAAATCAAGCGAGTTAAATCAGCAATATGAAACCCTGTGTTAGACTGCACCAGACTATTCACAAACAGAGATGGCAGAAAATCGTGATGGAAGAAGTATTCGCCTCAAACACAAATATGGACACCTCAATGTAACCACGACTGCTCTGCTAAGAACGAAACGACAGGGAAGAAGAAGAATTACTATCATACACAGCAAAGTCGTCTTGTTTTATTTACGGTAACTATACATACAGAATACAAAGTCTAAATTATAACTAAATGAATACAAAGTCTAAATTATAACTAATTGTTATACGAAATACTCACTACAACTGCTATATCATGATTGGGAAAGTTGAATTTTTTGGGATATCTAGCGCTTGCTAGCATCCTCCATTGTGCTAGATTATTTTTATCAGTATATTTGTCTTTATTGAAAAGACAGCCAGCGACAGCACATTTGTTCAATAGCAAGTTTGTCCCAATATACCTGAAAATATCATAGATTAACAAAAAATATGGTTAAAAAATGTTTAAGACTTTGACTGCCAATCAAAAACTGTTGAAGGTAAATCCTCCGCTAACGCCGCGGCGGTCACTGGTGACCGCTTGGTGTTTGACAGTTTAATATAATGTTGGATTATGTATATGGAGGTATAGCTGATACACATATTTTTATATAAACAAAAATACACGAAGTCACCAATGATAGTAACATTATTTATCTTTTAAATATTGATTATAAAACTTACTTTTCATGAGCTCATTTATGTATAAGTATACAGAAATACGTTGATGACGTCGATGAAGATATTGGAATGACTAAGTTTCAAATATAATAACCAACTTTAAATGAATTAAAGTATTACCCTCCTTGTGAAATGCTAATTTGTACATTTTCCACAAAGCAATGGGCAGCACTTAATACCTTCTGTTCACTTATTATAGATCCTCCACAAAAAGTCATGTAAATATCGTCTTTCATAAGTTTCTTTAAGGACACCTGAAATATGATAGTTTTTTAATATGATAAGATATAAAAGGATAAGAATACATAACTTCATCCATTGAAGTTTTATATTTGTATCCAGTATTAAACTGCTTCATGTTGTTGAATAAGATAAATTGAAAATCTGTGGATTTCATTATTATCGTCCGAGCGTTTGGGTCCACTACTTTTCACATAGGCCTCACCGATAGTATGCTGACAAGCTCGATCTACAGACCTTCGCATCTAATGTTTACCACTTGTACAGATTTAAGAATCTGTTTATTAACATAACTATGACTGTCCTATGATGGGCAAAGGCTTCTTTATCCTATCTTCTCAGATCTTATATTTGCAGAAGAGGAAATTTCATTTTGCTATCTCCTTCTGAGCCTGCCAATGGCATTATGCCATTTATGATTGAATAGATTAGCTGATCCTGTAGATGTATGGATATCTTACCTGGTAAGGAACATCTCCTAACTGAGCTGGAATGCCATTGATCACACGAGGAATCCATATGTCTTTATTTGGACCAGAAGTCACCGTACTTGTTTCAGATCCATTTACTGTATTCGGAGTTGTTTCGTTCAGCGTAAAGCATTCTGTTATGTATAGAACGATGCAAAACAAACATTTTAAAAGCATGAAATACTATTAATTTGTACTCATTGATTTGAACACTTAGATTTGAAATGTCATAATGCTCGTCAGTATTATTATTGATTTTTTGGACTTTTTTTCTCTATGCTTTACTTTTTTGTGATTATAAATGTCATAAGCACTAAAGAGGAAATTATTTTTCGAAAGTTTTTTCTTTATATCGATTTGATGATTTGATAAGTATCGGAAGCATTGAGCTGATATCCAATGCAGAGAGAAGACTAGTCGAGAAGAAATGTGTTTGAATAAACCGATTTATTGATTTCGTTATTTCCACATTAATTTTCCGCTTGGTTATTGTAAAAATTGATAAAGCGAAGAGGAGTCATATCTCATATCTCAAAGTCTCAAAACTGAACGAGCCAGCAGTATGGTAGAAGCGCAGAAGTATCAGCCTATTTCCAGTACAACTTATTAACTATCCAAAACTGTCAAAAAACAAAAAGCAAGTTGGTAGGACTGGGTAGAACTAGGACTAATATAGGTACTACTTTATCGAAATGCTTAATTCCCCGTGGATTCCTTATCATTTCAGTTTGAAGGTTTGAAGTCTTTAGGTACAAAAGATACAATAAAAGATCAACTTTAACGGATTTGTTACTTCTTGAAGGTTGATCAAGACAAGCCAGGATATTGTTGTTGGGACAGGAGATCAATATGGGATAGTAAAATTAAAACTCATCAGAATAAAAATGTTTTGTATATTTTTACTATTGCTATAGTAATAAATACATTCAGATAATATGACAAGGCGGAAACTGATGTAGAATCATTGGTTACAAAACCATAGTATTTGGATACTCTAGTAAAGAATGATCCTCGACCTTTGGCGTGGCCGCTGACAACACCAACTAACACTCCTTTGTCTTTTTCATTTGGATCACCTGTATTTTTACATACAAGAGGACCGCCAGAATCACCCTGGAAAAAAAATTTGATTAGCGTAATTCTGATTTAAATGCCTTTCCAGCTAACCATATATCCCGTATCCTCAAAAGGCCGGTAATACAATTGTGATTTCACTGATGTTGCTCAATGGGCAACGCCGATTGCTTACCATCAATTGATCCGTCGTCGACCGTTTGTTGTCCTATGTAAAATAAAAAAGTATAAAAACAAGCGGTGACTGTCCACTTTTGGACAAATATATTATCATTGGAGAGTCATATCTCCTCTATATAACAGGTTTTAATCCAGTATGCTTGTGAGGTAGAAAGTTATTGTCGAGCAAATATTGACAGTTTTTTAATTTGTCAGATCAGTTAAAGAACGTTCCAAAATCGATTATTACAGTTCCCAGTAGTTCCCATCTATGAATATTCATCACTAACAGCCGGAAGACGTCCACTGCTGGACAATGGCCTCCCTCTTAGCCCTCCACGGCGAACGACAACTCGCCACCTGCATCCACTGGCTCCCCGCAACTCTGGCGATGTCGTCGGTCTACCTGGCGGGAGGCCTGCCCGTCTTCCAATCCGTGGTCTCCACTCAAGGACTCTCCTGGCCCATCTGCCGTCAGTCCTTCGAGCGACGTGGCCTGCCCATTGCCACTTCAGTCTGCAGATTTCGCGAGTTATGTCGGTAACTCTTGATCTTTGGCGAATTTTCATATTTCGGATTTTGTCGCGCAAAGAACCCCCGAGCATCGCTCTCTCCATTGCACGCTGAGCGACTTTGAGCTTCGAACTGAGCTGAGAACTATGTATATCGTAATATAAAATATAAACTGAACCTTTCCGACGTCAGTAACCGAAGAAAAGGTGCATACAAATAGATCCATACGTCTGCGATGCATCTTACCGCATAATTCATTAGGCATAATGTCCAAATTAGCCAATAGAAGTATTTCAGTTAGATCCTATAATAAATGAGAAAAAAAGTTCAAGATTTTTCTTATGTATCTTATCTTTTTTTTTATTTATAACATCACGTCTTTTATCCTCGAAGGGGTAGGCAGAGGTGCATATTATACCACTGTACAATGTAATACCCACTTTTCACTATTTATGTTATGTGTCCCATGTAATAGGGGGTGAGCCTATTGCCATATACCAGGCACAGTTCTAGACTCCGTGCTACTACCGAGATTTTTTTAAAAACCCAGTAATACTTTGCCCGACCCGGGAATCGCAACTGAGACCCCTTGCCCGGCAGTCGCAATTGCGACCACTCGGCCAACGAGGCAGTCCAGTATCTTATCTATTACTTATTATTACTAATCTATCTACACTGATAGTATAAAGATGAAAGATTTGATTTTTTGTTTGAATTGAATTAAATAGGCTCCGAAACTACCGGACCGATTTGAAAAATTCTTCTACCGTTGGCAGGGGAACCCGATGTGTGAAAAAACTATAAAAAACTTTCTTATATTGCTTTGCCTTATAAGCTTTTGACTGCCAATAGAAAACTGTTTTTAAGAACTAACAATAGTATTTAGCTGCATCAGATTCGAATTCAATTAACTGAATACATTTTATTTATAGGCTAGATTCTGCCCTCGGTTTCGCTCGTGCTCTTTTAAAGTATTGAGGGCAGGTTTACAAAGGATAAAAAAAGAATTGGCACCCGATGTTTTCCTGGTTACAAACATGATACTAATTTTAGGTTTCTTTAAAAATGACAAAATGCTCTATACAAACTCCCAGAAACTTGAAATCACGAAAATAAACAACATTACACAATATCTAAATTGATTCTGATGACATTTATTACACAGAATTGCAATTAACCTTGGAGAAGACTAATTAAAAAATTCAAAATTTGCCAGAAGTCATTATTATAAGCGGACGAAGTCGCGAGGAACAGCTAGTACTATATATACAATATTGCACCTTGTTTTGTATTGTACCTTATTATTATTGTATATTATTGTATACATAATTGTATATTATTATTACTTAGTTTATCTGGTTTTTCTTGAAGTAGATTAAAAAATGGTTCATACCTTTTTTCCTTGCCCTGTTCTTCCATATCCTGAGACCAAACACTTGCCTCTATAATCTGTATGTCGTTTAGCATACGGTATTGGACCAATGTTATTATTATATTTAAAAGGATATTTTGTGTACTGGAAGAAAGGAATTTAAATTGTTTGAAGTTGAATACGTACATACATAATATGCTTTTTACCATTGTACAGGCGTATTAAGTGGTATTAAGTGCCGACTTAATACCACTGTACAATGTAACACTCACTTTTCACTATTTATGTTATGAGTTCCATGTAATAGGGGGTGAGCCTATTGCCATATACCGGGCACGTTTCCAGACCCTGTGCTACTATTGACATTTTTTTTAAAACCCAGTAATTCTTTGCCCGACCCGGGAATTGAACCCGAGACCTCTTCGGCAGTCGTACTGGCGACAACTCGCCAACGAGGCAGCCTGAAGTTACATAAATATAAAAAAAAAAACAATGACAGAATGAACAAAATGGTTATTAAAAAAAAAAACAACAATTACATTAATTTAGTACACCAGTAGGTACGTACTTATATCTCTTTAGATGGGAAAGTAAAAATTTATAACAAAATCCAAAAATAAGATATTTTACTATATCGTAATCTCTCACGCCTAAAATTCTGGCAACGCACTTGTGTGTCCTTGTATTATGGTTGTCCAGGAGCGGCGTCGATTGCTTACCATCAAGAGATCTTTCCGTTTGGCCTGCCATCCCTTAAAAATCTATATACGTGTGTTTCATACAATACTTTAGACACATATTATATGCCGTTAAGTATACTTACAGCAACTGCTATGTCATGTCTTGGAAATATATATTTTTTCGGATAAACCACTCGTTTCAATGCACGCCATTGACCGTCAGTGTCAGACGAAGAATATTTTGCAAGGTTAAATAGGTTTCCACCAACCGCATATCTATTTTTCAGTAACTGAGAACTGGCTTGTCTATAAAAATAACAGGCTAATTTTATACTTGAGTCTGTTTGTCCTTTTATCAAGTCAAAACCGTGTGGGTTAGTAATTAGTATATTTTTTCTGCAAGGACCAGATAGTTCTGGTCCTCGCAACTTTTAACAATGAGATTACATAACATCACGCCTTATATCCTCGAAGGTGTAGGCAGAGGTGTACATCACGACACTTTATGCCACTGTAAAATGTAACACCCACTTTTCGCTAATTATGTTATAAGTCCCATGTAATAGGGAGTGAGCCTATTGCCACATACCGGGCATAACTCCAGACTCCGTGCTACTACTGAGATTTTTTGAAGAAACTCAGTAAGACTTTGCCCGACCCGGAAATCGAACTCGAGACCCCTTGCCCAGCAGTCGCACTTGCGACCACTCGGCCAACGAGGCAGTCAACTTTTAACAAAGAGAATCTTATGGAAAATGACAATCTCTTACACCTATTTTTCTTTCTTATAACTTATATTTCTACATCGGTAACGGTAGTACATATGTGTCGAACTTTGTTAATATGTATTAAGATCTGTGTGAACCATGTACTGAGAAATAAATTACATACATTTATTCTTTCTGCAATTTGATATTTACTCATTTTCATAGAAAATCTTCTTCTTATTACCATATTGTATGTTTAATGTTTAAACAAGACAGATGGAATTTTACTTTTATACATATTTCTATTTTAACTTTTAAATATTTTCTGTTTTGTGTAAATTATTATTAATTGAATTCGTTTTGGTTATGAATGCAGTTAATTTATGACTATATGGGCTTGAAGATTACTGCAAACCTGTCTTTTTTAGAGGAGGTCCTTAGACCAGCATTGGACTCACACGGATCTGATGATGACCGTGGTTTAGTTCCTAGGTTGGGCGTATAATTTTCGTAGGAGTCAAATTCTCATTACGCCTGTCTCACCTTTAATCAGGCATGTTGTTTAAAAATAATGATAGTATTATAGGTACCAAACAATCTTTGGTTATTATCGGAATATAACTGCAACGTTCGCAATGCAACCCAGATACATAACGAATGAAACAGTATAAA